TATATATATATATATACAATCGGGCCTCTATTCAATGAAGTCGCTAAATCACGATAATAAGTTTGTTATGTAGAAAATTAGTTAAATAGAAAATCACCTTTTGAAATACCTAAACGACACAAAACAGGTTTTAAATTCATAAACACTAGACACAATTAAAATAGCAATTAATACACCTTTATCTTGCAAAATAGTATCTACTATTTATTTTATAAATCTTAACCATAAAAGATATCAGCATGGAAAGCAAGAATGGAGCAAAACATAATCCAGTGTTACACTATCATGCTACATACATTTTCAACTAAAAGCAGCTAAATTTATGCATAAAATTACATATGCATTTATTTCAAAAGTAACGTTAAACATGCATTACCATATGCGTTCTTAAGTTTAATTGCTACTGATAAAATCCGTTAATTTTGTTTGAGTTTTTCGTTTGAAATGCAAACAAAAAGGGAAAGAGATTTTACTGTTTTCTCTAAAAATTAAGTGGTTTCAAAAATCAATTCAAGGGCATTTACCCCATTAAATGCTTTAACAAGTTTAAAATGTTCTGAAATATTTTTGGGAAATAGGAAAAGCGGATCTTAAAGAAAAGTTCGCTAAATTGAAAATTTACTTCCCTATTTGGAAGTTATTTTACGAAGAAATTTCTAAAATGTCTAGACAGCCGTCTTGTATAACCGTGAAAAAATGATTTTTTTTTCTCTCCTTATTGTTATATTCCTTATTGTTTCCCTTTTGTTTCTTTATTGTAAATTGTGTTATGTATAACATTGCATGATAAATTCACCCGAAAATTCTTCTGATGATAAATAAATTTTCCCCGATGTTTGTCCCGAGAGTTTCCTTGCAATCTTTCTTGTATACAAACTTCAAAAGTTGCGGATTTGAATATTCCCTGTTCAACGCTGTAGATATTATAAAATAATAATTTTATGACACCACCTTTCGTCTAAGTTTGATTCAATAATATAAGATATTGGAAGTAAACGTTTACTGTATCAAACCTATAACTGGGTTAAGACCTTTGGCGACGATAAATTAAAATAGAACAATATTTGTAAATTTTTTACACAATAATTTTGAGTGAAACTAAGTGAGTGAGTGCTGAAAATAGGAAACATTATTCAAAGATTTGTCAAAGTACCAATACTTACTCTTGGTTTCATTTTCGAGTATGGTTTTTATCTGCGAAGCTCTTTTATCAGGATATACTGTTACATCAAAGCCACGACTCCTGAAGAAGCCTTTTAAAGCGATTGCATCCAGTTCGGAATAGGGTCTATCTTCAGGTCCAAAAGTAAATGTCTTTGAAGTAATGTGCAATAATCAATTGAGTTGTATATTTTAAATTGTTTCTATAACACATTAATATAAATACGAAGTTTAACCCTTTAACTCTCAAACATATCGACAAAATTGTAAAGATTTCATCTCGTTGGAGTTTTAGAATTGAGTACAGTCTGAAAATAGTTTGTAAGATTGAAAATACAATGATCTCACCTACAAATTGAATTAGGAGGTCAAACTTTCTTCGTAGTTAACAGCTAAAGGGTTAAAGCATAAAAATTAAAAACATGAATTAAGCATGAAATAAAATGTTTATTAGTGTTCGTAAATATTTACAAAATCGGTCAATTTCTTTTCACTAACATCTCAATCATTAACTCATTTTTTTTCCAGATTTATCAAGAAATACACAAATAATAAATTCTCACATGAAATCGCCAAACTTGCCAAGAAATAATTTTACCCTTTTCTTACGATCAATGTTTGATGCAAAAACAAAGGTAGTAAACAATAGTTACTTGAATATTTTATTGACATTCATAACTTGTTTACTTTTGATGGAAAATTGAAAACACGGACGTGTATTGAAATTATGGAATTCTACAAAACATTTCATTTATTTAAACCTGTAAAATGATTGAAAAGTAGAGAAGTAAGAAAATATCTGTAGAAAGGCGAGTTATATATATATAGTGATACCTCGAGATACGAGTTTAATTTGTTCCGTAACCTTGCTCGTATGTCAATTTGCTCGTATCTCAAAGCAATTTTCCCCATTGAAATTAATTGAAATGCCATTAATCCGTTCCAGCCCCAAAAATGCTACCCCCAATTGTTTTTGTTACGTGTTTTTGAATAAGAAAAATGTATTTATAAATGACAAATATTGTATAAAAACATAATAAAAGAAAATGTAAAGTAAAAAAAAAAAAAAAAAAAAAACTGGTTTTATAAAGTGTGCATACATATTTGTATTTTGATCACTTAAATGCAAGTTGCACACATCTTAAATGCTACTGTATGCTTAATTTTAGTCACTGCTTTTCTCTTCACCGGTCTTTGCTTTTTTAGCTGGATTAAAAAAAAACTGTCCAAGGAGGTTTGTTTCTTCCTCCTTCTCAGAATGCTGCAGAAATGAGTTAGGCGAGTGTCATGAAATAGTTCCGATGCACGACCAGATGCAACTTTTTCGGGATGTTTCCTTGCACGAACTGTGAAATTCTTGCCCACATTCCCAAGAACACTTTTATCTCACTTGTAGAGATAACCTCCTCCACCTCTGGCTCTTCCTCGAAACCAATTTCTTGCAGAACCCCCGAATGCTGCTGCGACGGTAACTCTTGTAATTCCTCTGTCGTCAGTTCCTGAGAGTACTCCTCGATGAGCTCGTTCACGTCTCTCTCACCCATTACCAGGTCCATGGATTTTCCCAGAGGCCCAATATCCTCCTCCACTGGCACTTTGGGTTTGAATCCTTCGAAGCTATAGACTCAGGCCACTGCACAATTTTCGGCTACAGACTCACTCTGGCCACAGCTTCTTCCATGCAGAGGTCAAGATCCTCGTTGCAACGCTCAGCCAGGCCTGATCAATAATTCTGAGGCATATCACGATGTTGAAGGGGTCCTCCCAGTACTCTCGAAGGGTGAGGTTTCTGTTTTCTGTCACCTCAAAGCAGCGCCGGAACAGGTGCTTAGTGTACAGCTTTTTAAAATTAGAAATCACCTGCTGATCCATGGGCTGCAGGATAGGAGTCGTGGTAGATCGAGAACCTTAATAAACTTGAACTCTTTGAGGATGTCATGTTCGAGGTTCGGTGGGTGAGCAGGAGCATTGTCGAGGATGAGAAGGACTTGCCTGGCCGTTCCTCGTATCTCAAATGTCACTCGTATCTCAAAACAAAACTTCGCTCGCTTGACAGCTCGTATCTCAAATAACTCGTATGTTAGGGCACTCGTATCTCGAGGTATATAAAGAGAGAGAGATTTATGTATATCATCAGAAATATATAAACTTACTTCAAAATATCGTATGAGAACTCTTATTTTTATTAAAATTTCAGATTCTCCAAAAAAAGTACCAAAGTTTGGCATTACAGGTTTTTTTATTTTGGTTCACAGATGGTGCTGTAATTGCGAAATGAAAAGGGAGTATCGATTGTTTTGAATGAATATATCTTGAGAAATGCATATCAGATACGGGGAAAAATAAAAATAAACGTGTTAAATATTTAGAAAAAATCTCTTTAATGCTATTAGCCTCAACCCTCTCCTAACACCTAATGGTGGAGGCCCATATACTATTAACTCTAAAAAATACAATAGCTTCTTGACATGATAAAAATTAAGATTTTTACCTAAATCGTATTTTTAATTGCTTTAGCTTTTCAGCGAATATAATTAATTTAATGCATTGTCAACCAACTATTGGATTTTGTGCCACTTACACTCATTTCGAAAAATTAAGAATAATTTAAAATCACAGGAAATTGAACCCCAAAGTAAAAATTTCACCTGCAGAATTATCACGGAAATCTTACAGAATAATATGCAAATTACAGTACGTCACAATGACGAGAGTGTAATAGTGGGGTATATAAAAAATGGTGACAAAGAAGTAAGATTGGCTTACAAGCGTTCTGTAAGCCGCTCAGTGCCATAACCAAATACTTATGACACAGTCGATGATTTTTTAAGTGGTTGTCCAAAGTGCAATCTTTAGACTTTGACAACGATTCCGAGATGATTGAAATGTCAATAGATGTTACAGTACAGGTCATCCCCGAGTTACAACACCGTATGAAGACTAGTATTTGGAAGTAACTGTCAAAAAAGAAGCAGGCGGGTCACATCCAAGACTGCACAGCGTTCGATCTGTCTCGTCAGCTATCTGCAACTACGACTACCACAGTTTCAAGACAAACCGCGTACAGAAGCTTAGAAAATAAAATATTGGTCTAAATACTGGCAGGGCTGTCAGATGTGCTCTACTCTCGGCAACTTACTGTCGTCAGCGATTAGCCTGGAGTAGAGAGCATGCCATGTGGTCATCATCATGGTTAGCTTGTGTGATGTTTTCCGACGAGTCCAGGTTTAGTTGGTAGTATGATTTACGTCGGACTTCAATCATCTCAAATGACGTCGGTGCAGTCTGATTCGCGTCATGTGGAGAACGCCACAGATACTCGTTACCACGAAACAACATCATTGAGCGTCGCGGGGGTGCAAGATTAATTGTTTGGTGTCGAATTATACTAGGTTCCAGAACAAATCGGTATGTTCATATCGGAAACATCACAAGCCAAATTTATCGAGACATCATTCTTGAACAACAGGTATATTTGTTTAGAAGTGCCATGAGCACAGAAGTTATGCTTATGGATGACAACGCTTGTCCTCACCAAACATCATAAGCGAATGCCTTTATTCTGAGGATTTCAAATCTATGAAATGGTCAGCATTCTCACCTGACTCTAATCAGATAGTATGTGTGGGACATGCTTGGTCGACGAGTTTCAAACAGCCAACTTCCTCTTACATGTGTACCGGAAGTTCGGAGAGTATTGCTTGCTAAGTGGAGTAATCTTCCCCAAGTCCAGGTCGATAATTTGATACTCAGCATGCTTTGGATTTGTATGAACTGTATTTCATCGCGTGAGAGGCATACAATGTATTAACCATCATACAAAACATGTAATATTTAGCTTTTGTAAAAGATATTTTTTTATTATTGCTCCAGGGAGCAAGATCATAGTCTTTATGAATAGAAACATACATACATTATCTTTTTTGTTCTTTATCTTTTGCTTAATAAATGGACATTATGAATGAGTCACGTTTGTTTTGATTCAGAACCTTTATTTGACGCACGGTACATTATCCTTAATTTATGGACAAGAGCGCAGCTTAACTCTCATCATTGTTAACTGTATCACTAATTTATGTGTCAACTCTTAAGCGGAACTAGTTTGAGATACTGGTTTCATTCAATTCTGAATCTATTCTTTAACCTAATTTTTTTACAATATAGGTACAAGACTTTCTAATAAAATTGAACAATTCAGATTTAGGTTTTTTATTTTAAAATATTTAATACTCTTATGCTTAATGCATTTCATAATTTTCATTTTAAAATACATACCATATGATTGAAGATAAAGCATTTTCCTATTATTTTGTCTGAATTCTGCATTGAATAAACTTCATCATCATAAGCTCCTGATAAAATACTTTTAGAACTTTTTGCTTTAATTTCAGTCTTTGATTTCCTTTTTAATTCTCTGAAAAACAAATGTTATTTTATGAATATTTTTTTTAGCTAACTGAAAAGGTGAGTATAACAAGTTATAGTTTTATTTATTTTTCAATAATCTTAAAATATTTAAACTAAATGAGGGGTGGCAAGAAAAAACATGATATAATTTTATTAAGCTTCAGCAATCATTAGGGAGATTTCGCAATTTTACATATCTTTTTGTATGTTTCCGCAGATAAGATTTGAAGTAATTCCCATACGCACCTATAGTTTCCTTTTGACAACCAGCATGAACGAAAAAAAAAAGATTTTGTAGACACTCGTGAGTTAAAATCACCAACGTAACGAAAAACAAGAAATCACCGAATGAACGGTACTTTACTATGATTTTATTATACGAATGGGAATATTACGAACTAATTATTTCTAAAGCTGAACGATTTTATGACAAGTTCGTTTAATTACTTGGGAGAATTCTGAAACGTTATTCCACTAACCTCACTAACATAATCTAATATATATTAAAAAAAGTTTTTATATGGATTTGAATGACTGTTTTCAATTCTTAGAATTCTGTGCATTTCCAATGTACCTAAGTTAGAAGCGAGCTTGGTTTGCGAAGCAAACCATATAAGATTGCGTAGCAATTTTCAGGGTTTGGCGAGCGTCAGCAAGCAGGTGGCGCAGCCCACTAGTATAATTTTATTACCCTTCGGTGTAATATATTTTAATGAATATTAAGAAGTATACAAACTGGCTGATAATGATCTAATCCAAAAATATTAATTGCATATTTTTACAGACTGTGTTGTTGACTATATTCATTTGCATTGTGTAAACATCCTTTTTAACCTAATATTTATACTCTGCATTCTATATCATCATGTTTTTATATTCTATATCCTGAATCTGACTTACCTTTTTCGATACTATGTTTATACTCCTTGAAGATAACGTGAACTTTACTGGAGACTTAGATCGGTGTGTAAATAGAATAAGATAAATATGTGTAAATATAGAATATTCTATTCGGGAAGACAGTTATATTCTTGATAAATGTTTATTAACAAGAACTTCTGTCAAAAGTGAAGGAAATGTATATATTAGGAATCGCAAATTAAAATTTAAGAGAAAAAAACTCCAACGAAATCTCAAAGTCACTACTGAGGAAATCGGGAATAAAATTATCAATACTTGATTGATTAATAAAATTGTCAATACCTGATTGATGGAAATAAAATTATCAATACCTGATTGATTTTCGAGGAAAATAAATAGGAGTGAAATGGTAATTATTGGCATATACCCCTCCCTTTGCATTGATAATTCCATAAATGTCAATAACTTCTTTGTTTCTTATTTTCCGCCTTATGTATAGTTTTTTGTTATTGTGCTTACTTTATTTATTTCATTTTTGATTCTGAAAATATATATTTAATTGCAGTGATTCTGGAATACCCTGATAAAACAGATTTTTATTTTTTCATGTATATCTTTTCCCATTATACATTCATTAAAATATCAAAAAATTTAAAAATATCCATTACGTCTGTATCTTAATAGTTTTACTTTATACCCTATAAATAAATAAACATGAATCACAATTGTAAAAGATTATTGAAATCACTATATATCGACAAAAACTTTAAATTAAGGAAATATATGAACAAAATATTTTATAGATACTCTTTTTCTCTGCGCCCAAAACCTACGTCTTCTTCGTCTCCGCCTTGCATATTTCCTACAAATTCATTTAAACAATATCATTTCAGATTATCATAATAATAAATACTGCAAAAATATATAAATAATAATATTAAAAATTATAATATTATAAATAATAATAATATAAATTATAATATACGTAAATGAACTACAACTACAACAATATGCGGCATTCAATTTATTTTTATCTGCTGTTGCGGTCTTTGTTGTTTGCTTTATTGGAAAAATAGTTTAATCATTCAGAAAAAAAACTCATTTACGCTTCTAACTGCTTTAAGTCTTTCAATAATACTACTTTTGGCCGAGATAGCCTGGTTGGTGGGGCACTGGACCCATGTCCAAGAGGTCGTGAGTTCGATCCTCGCCGGCCGAAGACTCCGCGTGTAGTAAATGGTGACTGATGGACGGCAAATCTGACGAGTCGCAAAGTCCTCCATGACAAATCAAAACCTCTGGGGGTACTGATCACGGAGTTTCTTTGTCTTCTGGATTGGTTCAAAATTACAAGGCCTCGGAGTTGAACATTAGTAGTCGTAAGCCGAAAATTGGGTCAGCTGTTCAACGAAGAATATAAGAAAAATAATAATAATAGTACTTTTACAAAAAAATTTATTACTTTAGCAGCACCTTGCTCCTCAAGTCTTAGAGTCATGTGGTTGTGTCATAAGACTTATTTACTGATTTTTTTTAAATTTTAATGAACATTTTCGTGTGAAATATGTAATTCGTTTACATTTTAGAACGCAACTGAACTGTTCATTCCTAAACTAAAGTTTAGTTGGCTTTCGGGTTACTAGAGATTGGATCTCTACGTAATCAGTAGCCTCTCTTAACGGGTAAGCATTTTATTTCTTGTTTTTATGGATTCTTATAATATAACTATTCTTACAATATAATTATGAATAAAAGTAATGGCTAAAATATCTGATAATAAATATTTGATAATTGAAAATATAATTATTGCTAAACCATTTATAAATTAACAAAATGTCATCTTCTAAAATGCATATAGAATGGCAAATATTAAATTTTTACAAAAACCAATTAGCACCTAAGGGGTCGGTCACATATGCTCAAAGTCAATCTGACAAAATTATTTTTTAAAGGTTTCAAAATTTAAAAATTTGAAAACTAATAACTTAAAAATATGAAAAATTAAGGATTTTTATGGTATTGATTTTTTAAAAAATAACTTGAGGCATTTTAACAATTATGTCTCTTTTCTAGATATAGCACTTAGGTTAAATCCATCGTTAGCTACGCTTTTAAGCAACTGCACGCTCGTCTCTCACTAACCATGAAAGCCAGAACTATAGTTTTTAACAATTATTCCTCTTCTCTGGATATGGCATTCACCCTCGAGCCATCTTTAACTACGCTGCTACGCATCTGCACTCACTTCCCTCATTGACCATGAGAGAAAGTTAACAATTTTGCCTCTTCTCTGGATATGGCATTCACCCTCGAGCCATCCTTAACTACGCGGCTAAAGGCCTGGTTTCTTAGGACAGGA